GTGTGTGTGTGTGTGTGTGAGAGAGAGGGGTTTTTCGGCCTGCTGCCTGGCGCCACTTTGCCCATCCTCCATTCTACTCCTTCAAACCTTCTGTCTTGTAATGGGACAGATGAGAAGATACACTGTACTTATGTGTCTGTGTGGGTGTGTGTGTGTGTGTGTGTGTCTGTGTGTCGGTGTGTGTGTGTGTAAACACTGCTGCTAGGCCTCACAACACAATCTGAACATTGACAAATCAGGCATTCATCTGATTATGATGTTTACATGAGTTGGTAACTGAACATTTCCTTCATATTCCTATTATTTACATGTCACAAAGCATCGTCTGATTATACAGTGGTTATTGTACAAAAGATATGCTAATTGTAATCTATAAGAAGGTTAAAATACGATAATAGACCAATGACCAAATCCTTAATGTGTTGCACTATTTTTTAAATTATTGAATGATTGTCTCATGAATGAACCTCACTTGTTAAACTGGCCAATATGTTGATGTGACAGAATCGTTTCCACAGGTCTTGTCTCCACCGCACAGACACACACACTTCTTATCTGTTCTCTCAGCGTTCACCGGCCTCCCATGATGCTTTTCCTCCGTTACATTAGATGCCTTTCAGAGCTTTGATTCTTTTGTTTTATCAAGTTTTTCCTCTTCTCATTATCTCCCCCTTTCGTCAGAGGCATATCTTGTGTTTTCTGAATTTGTCCACCTTTCTTTGCTGAGATATGACACTGGAAGCTAGAGGACTTCTCCCTCAAGGATATACTGAAGATAAGGGCTCGTGTGAGTCTGACTGCATGGTTTCATATGTATGTAAATGTGTGCGCGTGTACATTTCCTCAGGTATCACAAGGTTAAGAGATAGGAGAGTATGCATCGGACTCTATATGCCTTTCCATGCATACGTATGTGCTAGTGGTGCCGTTTGAGTTCACCTACCAGACATGGGAGAGATAGGAGTGTATGTGGCATAGGACTGACTCGAATGCCTGAGTGTGTTTACTGGATACACAAGTTTTCATGTAGTCTGTGATTGAGCTCCGAAGCACCTCAGATTGGAAAATGTGCACTTATACACTCACAATTATATACTGTTACCTTACCTATCTCTCTCAGGGGATGTACTTTCCAGTCACTCTTTGTATGTTCTTCATTTTTTGCCAAGTTTCTCTTCGAGAGCCAAAACAAGACCAGGCAGTGGCACAGAGAGCGTCTGCGGGAGATAAAGGGTGTGCGGGGAAAAAAGTCAGAAAATTTGAAACGCTCTCGTCCTAGAGAGATGAGACAATAAAGAGTGGAGTAAAAAAGTGCAAGAGAGAAAGAGGGGTAAATCAGACGCACTGCAATGGTGTCCTTTGAGAGAGACGAGACAAAGAATGAGAGGAGTTAGAAAATGGCAGAAAGGGAGGGAAAGCTTGCAGACAGGGTCAGAAAGCTTAATGCATTTCTAATAGCAGGTACCTTAGAAAAACATGGGAGACAAGAAGGAGGAATTAAAAAAAAAAAAGTTTAAAGGGAACAGGACAAGTAGGCAGAGGGATGATAAGTGAAGGTACAAGAGGCACAAAAGGGAAAGGAAGGGAAAAACTCATGCAGAGCCGTGTGTGTGTGTGTGTGTGTGTGTGTGTGTGCGTGTGCGTGTGCGGGGGGGGGGGCGGTGCAAGGCTGTGATGGCCTTGTGTCAGTCACCCTATGGCAGCTCTTTAACCCTGTAATTTACCACATCACTCTTCTCGCAGTGATGGGACCACTGCACAGGCTGACAACACAGCCTCTGGCGTGTGTGTGTGTGTGTGAGAGAGTGAGAGAGAGAGAGATATGGGAAGATGGGAAGAGAGAGAGTGTGTGTGCATACCTGTGGAAAAGGATTCTTGAAATGTCAAACAAAATGTCTCTAAGCCTGCCTCCATTTCAGGCATGTCTCTCTCTTTCTCCTGTTGCAGTGGAGCTCCACATCTGAACCATGACCCTCATCGACCCTGGGGATGATCAACAAAATTTAAACACAGTTGTTTTTGAACCTACATTGGTTGCAGCATAAACAACACCTCTGTAAGTATCCCAAGTTACCTCAGTTAAAATGCAATCCAATCAAGATATCCAGTTTTGTTTCTTTATTGGAGTCACATGCCACAACTTAAGGTGTTCTGCATTTAAAGACATAAAGACAATACGTGCTTATAGGATGCATACGTAGGTGACACATGAGAGATGCTGGTCTGCATTGTTCATCTACCTCATACAGAAGTCAAATCATAAGCTTTTCTTTGCATTGTGAGAGAGATGCAGTTTGTCCCTCCAGCCACACCATACATTCTCCTCTCACCTTGGACAAGGAGAGTTTTCAGTGGGCGAAATCAATGAGAGATTTCAGATGTCTTAAATCCACCAACTCTATTACTATTTCTATTTCTCTCCATTCTCCCCATCATCGTGTTGTCATCTCTCTCACAATAAACCTGTGCAACTCACAGTGCAACAAAATAAACTCTGTTTGCGAGGTCAGTATGTAGCTCTGTTTTAAAGGTACATTAAAAAGGCTTTGTTGAAAACTCAATACATCAACAGAAATCATGAACAGTAGGTTTAATGATTCAGTTATCCAATTAAATTGTTAAAAGTAAAAGTGTTTTTGTGCTGGATCACTGAGACTTTGTGGATTTGCATTTCTGATTTGAAAAATGTGTGGGTTTTTTTTTTTACTCTCAAACAATCTGAAGATTTAAATTAACACATATGGGCAAAGTTTCAGCCTTGGTGTGGTGCTGTTTATTTACCATAATGTATGAATGTAGAAAGGTCAGGATATGTCATTTCTCCATCAGGGACAGGATATAGAGGAATGCCATTATAGAAAGGCCAACAGTTAATTTCAAGCAGACCACATTGTTTGTGCTGTATACTCACCTGTATACCCACAGTAGTCTTCTCCGTGTACACACAGAGCATGTACAGAACAATGGGTCAATGTTTGATTCTGTGAGCTTCTATAAATGTCTTCATGTTAGACATCTGTTGAGAACAAGAAAGAGTGAGCGTGTGACAAGACCACAACCCAGGTGTCTCAGAAAGGCGTCTGTTGAGAACCAGTAAATATTGACTTTAAGTTCTATCACCAACGTTTTGTCGAGCACACAGACATGCATACATATCCAATCACACTTGTATAAAGGCACTTTCTGTTGCTGTAGTTCCTCCTTTCACACACACACACACACACACACACACACACACACACGCACACACTCTCACTGTACCCACCCAGAGGGGACAGTGAAAGAAGAGCAGAGGAAGAGATGCAGGGAGCAGACAAGGTCGTAGTTCCTGTGGACTGTCTTTGAAAGAGGAGTCGAATGTTTTCCCTCCCCTCGTTTGATGTTAAAGCAGCTACTTTACTCGTGTAAAGACGACAATAACCTAGACCACCACTGCCCCCCTCAACCCGAGCCCTCTGTACACTCTGTCTGCACACCCCCACAAAGCTCTGCAGGGGGACAGGTAACCCACAGCAACCACAGCCAGAAATCAGAATGAGTGTGGCAGCTGTCCAGGACCTGTACAGCGTGCTGTGTGTATGCGTGTGTGCATGCGTGCGAAAAAGTTTTAGGCACTAAAAGTGGGTATGCTGGAATGCTATGAGTATTTAACTTCATACAAAGTGCAGTAAATGGGGAAAAACAACAACACTAGTTAAATGGTCTGTGTATATGAAGCACTTTTCTAGTCATGATGACAGTTCAAAGGGCTTTCAAGTACAGTTTTGCTATCCACCCATTCACACAACAATTCCTGAATTTTCATGCCCCATCATCCTCCCACCACTTTCCCTACACACAGGACCTACGCCGTCATAGATTCGACGCAGAAGCGTAAATTGGGCTTAATTGTGCAAATAGCCACATTTATTAATATACATTGGAAGCTACATCTTTTTACTTTTGTTTTGGTGCTCCAGTCAGTGAGGCGTAATGACTGATGAACTGCTGCTCAGTTCACGGTTCCCTTTGAACTCTTTGCTACAGTTTGGAATCTTACTTCGCACGACTGAATGCCTTGTGGAGATCAGGGATCTACTGTGTGATGGGAACTTAGCCAGAACAGGATCAAAGTAAATAAAAAGCCTCTTCAGATGTGGATCTTATTCAAGCCACAGTTAAAAACACTCACCACATCAGGCACAGAAGACTGAACTCACCTGCTGCTGCTGTTAAACCCAGCGCACATCAAGAAAATCTCTGTCTGAATAAACATCCCTGTATTGCTCTTTATCGGCTACATTCATTCATCATGGACACACATATCAGCGTTGTCCAATACACCTTGACCCATTTGCCCTCAGATTTTCCGTATCTCTGTCAGACCCCTTGTTTCTTCTATTCTGCCATGACCCCTACAGCTCCACAGAAAAAGGTCTCAACTTTAAGGTTAGCCAGACCAGCAATAACTAATGGAAGCTTGCTGAAATGAGCTTTTCCAACCAAAAGGGCTGACTTCCGAGAAGAGGATGAAAGAATCCTCTTATGTCAGTAAACTTGTTACGCCGATGCTACCGTGCCATGCTAGCCCCAGCGTTTCCATGGCACCCACTGTTATCTATGTGTATTTTTGTTGGGACTTTTAGTTTTGGGGGTTTAGTGGCAAAATTAGATATTTTTTTCCTTCCCACACCACAAGGAGCAAAAGGGGAAAGATAAGAGAGAGTCCCCTCTCAGCGTTAACGAAAAAAAGAGAGGGAGAGGATGGAGAGACGAAGAGCGGCAGCTGCAAAGATACAGGAATGAACGGCCAGCACAGCAATACTGCTACAGCTGTGCTAGAGATTCTGCTCTGGACAGTGTGGAACATTGACTCCTCTCATACACCATTTAATACTGATATGTGTCCTTCACAAATATGCTTCAGACAGTGAAGCTGGTTAATTAATTGGGTAATCTGGGACACCTAAGATCCGGCCTGTTTATGTCCTTTTCTAACAAAATCTAGTCAACAGGACTTTTGACATGGACATCATCGAATAATATTTAATACATTTTTGGCACAAAGAACACTAAAAGCTCTGGTGCGGTTAGAAAACATTTTAAGGATTACAGAAAGGTATAATATGTTGATCTAACATGTAAAACAGATCGGAATAAATCGCAGATGTCATAGGTGGAAAAAATGTCCCAGATTACCCAAATTCCCCTGCAAGCAATTCTCCCCAACTTTCAAACCCTTCTAAAAACATTGAATTTGTAGTGAACTCACATTGACCTGTCTTTTTGTGAAAGGTTATATGAACTCCCTTACAAGGCCCTTTGGTGAGTGTTACCGGCCCCCGCCTCTGCCCTCACATATGACCCTCTATCGGCCCCCAGGAACCAGAGTTAACTGACTGGAGAGAAAAAAACAACTGTAATGAAGAAGGAGGGGCCTCCAGCACATTTCACAGCCCTGCTCTGTGTTCATTAGCTGATGCAAGGAATGCTGCCGGCTTTGTCTGAGCTGTCAGCCTCAAAGTGTGTGTCCGTCACTGCTCACCTGTGATGTGTGAACGAAGCATCGCCGCCCGTGACCTTGCCTCGGTGTCAGTTGGAGTTCATTTGCGTGTCTCTCGTTTTGTCACAATGTTTGTAATTTGCCTTTTTGTTGGTCAGAATGTGCATTCGCAGACAGTGGAGTTCCCACTTACAAGTAATACAGGTGCAACTGGTACAGGAAGTGGCGCAGCAGAAGAGAATTATGTTGAAGCACAATTGTTGTAAGAAAACCCTGTACTCCTATTACAACTAAAACAGTGACTACAATGACGGTTTCTGACAATCACTATGAATAATGTATATCTCTTTCATTTTATGCTCTTTATTTTCTTTAATAAAGGCTTAAAATGACCCCAAACACTGCCTTGTTGTGCTCCACTTGGACATTAAATGTTTTGTCATTCTTCGTCTTCAGCGAGGCCGTCACACCCAGTCGCCATACAAGTTAGCATGTGTGTAAGCATGTATGCCTACGTACAAGCTCTGTTTGACCCTTCAGGCATATTTAGTTCAATCTATTATGTCGTCTCACCAAGATACACATCTGTAGTGGTGTTTGGTCTGCCCTGTCTCTTTCTCCGTCTTTCATTTGTTCTTTCTCTCTCTTGGCCCTCTCCACAGACTCGGGTTTCACTCCTCCGTCAGATGGCGTTCTGCCTGGCTGAGCTGCACTTGTGGTCCACCAAGAGCACACTCCAAGTTAAAGGTAGCCCTTATCACCATGTTCAATCTCCCTCCATCTCAATAGTACTCCGCCTCTCTCCTGTCTGTCCGTCCTCTCACTCTGTCTTGCTCTGGCTCTTTCTGTCATCGCTCACTTTGTTTTCACACCTCCTCCTCACCTCCGTATATCTAACTTTAACAATCTGATTCTCAGTCAACACCAATTCTCACCCTGTCAGTTTTCACTTTCTCTTGCTCTCTTCCTATTTTCTTGCTTTCGATGTTGTTGTATACATGACATTCTTTATGATTTTACTTATGAAGTTTATTTGCACATTGCTCAAATTTCCCTTCATAATCAAGCACAAATAACTTATTTTTGTTATTTGGATGGGTTATTACATGTCTAGCATTTTTAGATTTAAAAGTTTTTGCATATGCATAAAAATACCACAGAATGTATAAAAGATGGACGCCTCATTCTTCTAATTTTGACATCCTTTTGAACCAGAGTCTATTAACTATTAACTATTAGCGAGTCAGTCTCAGCTGTCAATCATGATGTTTCACTCCATTGTTATAGCATCAAATACTTAATTAGACCAAATTGGTCCCTTGTCCCATGCACTAACATGGAGGAGGCAAAGTGTATGATCTTTACTGCAGCCAGGGGGTGATTTTTAGGATTTGCCTCCACTGGAGCTGTCATGTTGTCCATCTGCTGCAAGATTCTTTGTTCCAATTGTCACTGACGATAGTTCTTTATAACAGGCTGATTGTTTTGGAGTCAATGTTCTGCTGCGGAATGAATATGAGATTAATCAGAAGTGAGCAGGGTGCAAGTTTGACTTTTCTACCACTTTTGTGCATTTTCTTGCCTTCCACCTATCAGTCCATCTCCTCTGTCTGCAGGAAATGCTCTTTTTCTCCATTTTCTTGTTTTCTCCTCCCTTCCATTTTGTCTTGTCTTTCACAGTCTGCTGAGCTTTAGACAAAGATAGTGTCTCTCTGAGGCTGACTGTGTTGTGTGTTGTGTGCCTCTGTGTTTATGTGTATACACGGAGGTATGACAGGTTGTATATCCTTGGAGATGGTGACATATCCTTTTTTGTTTGTTTTTTCCTGCTGTGTGTGTCTTCTGCTATCTTGGAAAAATGTGGATGGATACATGTAAGGGACGAGGCCTGGTCGCTGAGGCGTGACGCTCCCTATCGCAACCTTCCTTACATCGTGTACATCCACCTTGAAAACAAAAATATAGATTCACAGAAGCAGGTTCTAGAATTCTATGTAACAAATGTTTTCAGTGTGGTAAGTTCTACATGTGTTGAACATGTGTAAAGTACAGCTTCATACCACAACAGGCAGATTCCACAGCCATCCATCTTTAGCTACTGTGTGTTTGTGTTTGGGAATATTTGTTGGTACAAATACAGAATCAATCTGCAGGTTTGTTTGCTACTTGTTTTTGAAAACCTCAATTTGCAAACACGAGTAACTGACAGAGCTGTGAGAGCATCTGTATCCAAGTGCAGTTTGTGTGTGTGTGTGTTTGTTTGCGTGCGTGTCTGCCATCAGCTCTCTGGTTGTATTAGTGTGACCTGGCCTCAGGAGCAGCAGCAGCGGCAGCAACAGTAGCGGAGCGATAAAGAAACGATGTGTTGTGCGAATCCGAGTCTGGCTGCTTATGGTTTTGGGCCTGCAGGAATAACACTGACAAAAAAAGGCTCAGCTCAGCAATTTGTGTGTGTGTGTGTATGTGTGTCTATACCTATCAGTGTTTGCACTAGGTTGTGTGTGTGTTGCATCAATGTGTATGCTGGACATGCTGTATATATTTGCTGCCCGCTGAGTCTGTGTGTTTACTTTTAAATGTATATGGTGCATGTGTGTAAATCTGAGTCTGTCCCTCAGGTGGCGTGGGTTGAGGCACACTCCCGTCTTTATTAATACCCCTCTGCCCCCCTCCTCCATTTTGACTCGGACCCCCTCCCACCTCCTCCTCCCTCACAGGGTCTTATCTGAACTGTGGTGCTGGCAGACGGGACAGGCCACTGGCTGATAGTGATTGTTTATCCCATGGTGCGAAATTGCTGATCTGTCTTCTGCTTTTTCCCTGACAGCAAGATGTTCATCTCTCTCTCTCTCTCTCTCTCTCTCTCTCTCTCTCNCTCTCTCTCTCTCTCTCTCTCTCTCTCTCTCTCTCTCTCTCTCTCTCTCTCTCTCTCTCTCTCTCTCTCTCTCTCTCTCTCTCTCTCTCTCTCACCCCACAGATACAGATATTGGCACCTATCAGTACTACGATAAAGGAGAGCCAGGTAAATAGTGTTTATATTGGATGTCTGTTTGTGTTTAAGATAAGTTGCATTTGTCTTGTTTTTGGAATGTATGGGATTTCCTTATATGTGAAGAAGAGATTTTTGCCGCCTCCTGTGCTCACATAAGCAGTTAACACACACAGACACAGACACACACAGATTATTGGTCCTGCGTATTTCGCTTACGCCTTACACCCGTTAACCACACATACACTTGTCCACACAGAGGCTATTAGTATGTAGGATTTACACCCTAAAACCTTTATTTACACATGCACATACCGCACACACACACACATGCACACAGGTTATTAGGCCTCCAAGGTTCTATCTCTTACACTCCCTGTGTTCCTGTTGACCTGGGGTCCTGCCACACAGCGATAGCAAAACTAAACTGTTGACTTTCTCCTAGATCACATAGCAAGAGGCCCGTGTAGTCCAGCCTCATATTGCCTCAGGCCAGGAGGCTTCCTTTTCCATCAGGAAGTGCTCAAATCGCTCCCCTCTGCAGTCCCCAACAGCATTGGGGATGAGCCATCTCATCCGTTGCTTTTTATTATTATTATTTTGCGCATTTGTATTCGTTTTTATGAGAATTACACATCTTAATACACAGTACACACCCTAAAAGTTACACTCTGCTGAGCAGGTTTGAACAAATCAACCATTTTCAAAATAATTCTGCAGTTACTGCTCAGAGTAAGGTGACTTTAGCTTTGTCTGAAAATGTAACACAAAAGTATAGAATAAATACAATATGTAGACTATGATAACTCATAGAGTCAATATAGTTGTGTTTATGTCCACCCGACAAGGTCCAATGATCACTTTGTGTCTCCACCTACTCCAGAGGGAATAATCTGCACCACTATATTCACTGGATAGTCTCTGACGTGTCTCATGGATGTTGTCATGAGTCACCAACTTTTTGAACCTCAGTCAGCTTAAAAATGATTTTGCAATATTTCAGTTTTTTTTATTGCATTTATGGCATTTCCACTCTTATGCACGAATTGAAAATGCACATAAAACAGATCCATGAAAACACACAGTGTATGAACCCTTGCATTTTTGTCTTTTTAAAACCATATAGTTGACATATTATTTGTCTGATTTCCTCCATCAGTTCAGTCTATCTTTATTTTTGTGTCTCTTTTTATTTTCCTTTTGTTACTGTCCTTGTCTCTGTGCCATGTTTCTTCCTCTCTCATTATTTCCTCGTCCTTGTCTCACTTTTTTCTCTCACCGTGTATATTTTGATCCCTCTCATTTTGTGTACAGTCTCTGTGTCTCTTCCTCTCCCTCTCATATCATGGGGTTCTCTCTCTTCTCTCTCATCTGAGAAGCTGCCTTCTCTTTCATTCCAATGTTCAGTGGGGAGACGATGCTCTCTCTCCAAATCCTTTCATTTGGAGGATTACTAAAGTGTGGCTTGATATCAGAGTGGAGGGAGGAGAGAAGGAGGAGGAGGAGGAGGGGTGAGACGGAGCAGAATCACCATCCAAAAGTATCACAACATTTTCACACAGCAGTGTAACGACAGCTCGGGTCATGATTCGACTGCATATACAGTAGATCACATTAGATTAGAGTAAAATGTGTGTGTTTGATATTTTGTGGGGGCACTGTGGCATTCAGCTTGAACAAAGAGGGCATGTGCTCAGTCAGGCTGTGAAAAATGTATTTTTCAAAACAAAACACCTCTGGAAACTTGGCTTCAGATCATTAGTATTTCTCTATATTCATAACTAAATACTCAACAGTAATAGAAACTGTTTTAACTTGAACATGAAGTCATTTACAGTAGGAAGGTGATTGAGGTAATATGTCTCCAGGGCCCTTAAGCTGGAGGAAATGTTTTCTTCCAGTTTATTAGGTACACTTATAAAACGAATGCAGCATGATACCACATGAAGGTTGTAATATTCAGACTTAGTTTTGGCATCTGTGGTGCTGTTTACTTGTGTTGCATGATCACAGGGGCTGGGTCTTTTTTTTAGGAGTTTGCATTATCTCCCTGTGTTTGAATCGGCACCCTGGCTTCCCCCCACAGTCCAAAGTCAGGCAGACTGAAGGTTGATTGGAGACTCTCGATTGACCGCAGGTGTAAATGTGTGTGTGAATGGTTGTTTGTCTCTATACGTTGGCCCTGCGATATGCTGGGGACCTGGTGTACCCAACCCTTCCTAGCCCCCAGAGACACGGATGGAATACTGGCAGATGTGTATTAGCCTGTATTAGGTTTAGGTTATCTCTACCTAATAGACTTTAAATTGTGAGTATGTGAGGATTCTCTTACTGTTAGTCACATACTGCATCTACTTCTCTATGTCAGCACATATATAGGAGACTACTCTGATTGTTATACTTCCACATCTCCCCACCAGAGGGAGACCCAGGCTCATTGGAGCAACTCGGAGGGTACCCCCACTGCCAACCCCCCACCTCGCCCTCCCTCCCTCCCTCCCTCCATCCTTCCCCACCCAGCCCCAGAGCAGGTGCCCATGTCTGGGCCTGTCTGGCCCCTCACCCCCTTATCTGATTAATACTACTAATCCTGGAGGTGTTGCTGCCTGCCAGAGAGGCCGGCCACCAGACTGGCCACTTTCTTGCTCACAGTGACCGTGCCATGAGCCACTGTTATGGGTTACACTTTGCCAACACAGCCCCTTGGAGTTGGGGGAGATGTATCATCTCCAGCTTAGTTTCCTGTTCCTCTGAATCTACATCGTATAAAACAACAATCATGCACACTACGCTCCTCTCATACTGTGTGTACCACAAATCAAACACTCCATTCTTTCCCCCCCTCAGCCATTTCCCTGGAGCATCACTACTACAATGAGAAACTCCAATTCTGTGAAGGTAAGTTTCCAACAGAGACGGTGTGTGTGTGTGTGTGTGTGTGTGTGTGTGTGTGTGTGTGTGTGTGTGTGTGTGTGTGTGTGTGTGTGTGTCTGTGTGAGAGAGTTAACATTTGGTAGGGCGGTGACGTCACCAGTCAACTGTCCTACTTCCTCTATTCTCTTTCCATCTCTCCCTCCCTCTCTTCCCCTCTTACTCTCTGATTTTCACCCGGTAGTGGAATACAAACACTCTTATCAGGAGACGAACACTCATCCCCCCTCCCTTCTCCTCACCCCCCCACTCCTCCGCTCCACCCCCCACACCCCCCTTATTTGCATTCATCTATTTACCTCCTCTTCCCACTCGTTCTTAATAGAGAATCCCGTTCCTTAATGGTTTGTTTCAGTGGAGATGAAAAGGGAGACTGTAAAATAAACAGTAGGAGAGTGATGGCACCATATTGAAAACAGCAGTTCCTTCTTTCCCCCTTTTTATTTCTCCCACTGAACTTCATGCACATGTGAGGGCAGCAGCACACAAATTCAATTAGCTGTTACCTTCCCTCCCTGTGTTTAACCACTAGATATTGCGGGGAAAAGGGACGGCAGGGAAATTAAAACGAAGTGGCCTCGCTGTGGTACGTGTTGAGATATGTGCTGCAGACGGTGAGGGTTGCATTCTGGAGATAACTCAAAAGCAGCGAAAGTCTCCACGATTTAATATTCGCCTCTCTTCGAGGACTTCGACTTTATGTGTTTTGAAGGCGCATTTTACTTCCATTAGAATATTTTCTCTCTATATGTGCAGCCACATCAATCTCAGCTGCAGGTGTAAAGAGTTTTTCTGCTTTAGAGACACAGCAGTCAAAAATATGAAATTTGTGCATTCACAGATGAAGCTTCTCTGTAGAATCATGACTTTTACATTTGTGTTTTTTATTTATATTTTAGAGATAGATATTGAAAACTAGTGCTATTGGTTGATATATATTACAGTTCCCTCTAAAAACAATAAACATCACCTGAGTAAATACTTTCTCATTTCTCGTTTCTCAAGTCAAAATGGAACCAAAGTTTATAAACTTTCAAAACACAGTGATTATTCTGCAAAATCATTCATGAACTGATTCACATTCATTTTGAGTCGTCTCCTTCGTGTGCCTGCATCTCTTCCTTTCACCTGACTGACCTGTCACCACCCTTTGTTGCCCAGTTGCCCCCTGTTCATGCTTAGATCTCAACCCAGATATGAAGTTCAACCCTTTCACCCTTTCCTGGCACATGAATTCCCACGAGTAGCTTTTTCTCTTCAAATTATTTCTCCTGTGTCTATGTTTAAAAGTTCAAGTCACATCATCATTCCGATTCTTCTCGGTTTTTAGCTCGAGGCTATTCGTGGAACCCCAGGAACCGCCGACCAGAGAAGCTACGCGATTCGTTGAAGGAGTTGGAGGTACCCGCCTACTCTGTTTAAACCCCACCACCACCAGCACCATCCCTCCTGGTCTCCCCCCGTCTTCTTCCTCCCTCTGGGGATTTTCTGAGTTTTCCCTTTCCGAAACGGCCGATTGATTAACAAATAGGGGCATTCTCTCTCTTTTCTCCCTCTGCCTTCACTCTCCCTGTCGTTCCTGTTTGTTCTCCTCTCTCCCGCTCCTCTCTCATCACCTCTCTTTCGGCCGAGCTCTGTCATCGACAGGGATATTTGAGGGGATCAGGGGGCTGCAGGCTGCCCCCTCATCCCTTCTCGTCCTCCCCTCCTTGTCTTCCTCCTCCTTCCCTTCCTCTCCTTTCATTCATCCCCCTCTTCCTCCACCCATTCCTCCCCCCTCTCTTCCCCTCTGTACTTGTGGCAGTACAGACCTAGCTTTGTTTGCTGGAACCTGTCTGTGGCTGACACACACTCACACACACACACACACAGGCACACACACTCTCCACCCAACCATCTCCCTCCTCTCACCCGTAACCATTGTCTGAAACTAGAAACACCCCAGCTCACCTCCACAGCCCACCCCCCTCCTCCCTCTCCATCCCTCTCTCCTCCCATCCAATCACCCCAGCTGGGTTTGGAATGTGGCAGGAATGACCGACCGTGTACACACACACACATGCACACAAGCAGTCCTTACCTGCATCCTCTTTCAAATCTCTCCCACCACTCCTCGAGCAGGAACTGTTGCAGTGGCCACCTGTGGAGGCAAGTGTCCAGCACAGTTTACCTCCGAGGTGATTAATGCAGGTGGCATCGGAAACTTATCAAATTGTTACACAAAATAATCACAACGTAGTAGAGGGAAGCAGACTTACTTTATCTGCTCTCTTTTCTAACATGCAATATAGGTTTAAACCTGAGTGTGTTCTGAGTGTCAGATGTGTTTTTGTTGGGCATTTAGTCACTTGTACACCTCTGTTTGTTCTCGTTCTCTCACTGTCTTTCTCCTCGTTTATCCATCACGCTCTTTCAGGAGCTGTTGCAGACCAACACCTGTGTTCACACCAGATGGCGAAACAAGAATTGCTGCCAGGTACACACCCTCCTCAGCCCACCACCTTCTGTACACACACACACACACACACACATACACACACAGCTTTAGGTAGTGGCAAGAGGTGATTTTATGTCCCTTGGTCAGCCTCAGATAAAGAACTTT